TAGTGTATGTTTGTAAATATATATAAATATATAATAGATTTATAGAAATATGCTTAAAATTAAATAATATACTGTATTATTTAATAATTAATAAAAAAATAATACATTATTATAATAGACCCTCAATGTTACTTTCTCCCTTCCACATGCCAGTGTAATTTCTTTAAAGCAGGCTCTGTGGCTCATTAATTTGCTTATCGGGGGAAATAGACATTTAGACTATTACTACTGCAATTAGAAACGGGTCACAATCTGCTACAGCAGAAGAGGATAATGATGTGAACAGCAGGACGGCGACAGGGCTGTTTAATAACATCTACTGCATTATTATGCTGTGCAAGTGGACCACCTAAAAACACTGTTTCACAGCTGGCAAACAAACCGATTGTAGTTACAATGAACAAAAATGGACAGATTTAGGCTAGGCTTAAAATACCAGAGCCTGAGAGGAAATTTTTCATGTAAACCTTTATATAGTTTTTTTTTTTTTTTTACCCTCTTTCATTTTAGCCATGTAGCAAAAGTAATCAATTCAAACCCTCATCAAATCTATAAAATGAAAAAATGGCTTGTAGTTTGCACACACACTTTGAGAAAATGATGTTTTCTGTGTGTTTTGGGCAATGACTCATTGGTTTAGTGCTAAAGGGTCTTAAGAGCCCTCTCTGTGTCGCATCAGTCCACTGATGCAGTGCAGTCTGGGATTATACTGTCTGAGGATTATACCAGCAGACACAAGACAAAAGACTGTTGACTCGGCTGTGTCAGTCTAAAAGATGGATAATACACAACTAACTAATGCATAGCTTTGAACTCTTCTTTAAAGGGCAGGCACTTACACAACAAAGACAATAAAAGCTTGTAAAGGAGGACGTAAAAGAGCAGCTTCCTTTCAAACGCTTTGTCACACAGACAGGACCAAATGAGTGAGTGTGATGTTCTCACACCATCCGTCTGTAATTAACAATCCGGCTTGACTGAAGGTCCCCTAATGAGGCCTGTTCCACTCCCTCATCCACACACCACCACGAAGCCCTTGTCCACCCCGCTCGACACTCAATTCCATCGCCATGGAAACTGTCTACTGTACTCACTTTGTTGTTCAGTTCCCAAGGCATCCACAAAAGGGGCGGTAGGCTCTCTCACAGCCTCATTGTCGGCTTTCAGCCAATGATGAGGATCAATCAGAGACAGGCCTGCCACTCGTGCTTCTTTTGGATCCAAATTATCAAGCTGTCTTTCGTCTAATATACAGTATATATAAAAATAAATTATTTAAAAAAAATGGAAATTGTAGCCTATGAACAGGACACCAAATTCACATATTCGCCTAATTATTGCATAAATAAAGAGTTGCCTGATAATTTTATCTTAGCTGCATCTATTTCTTCAGGCCTGTTAATGGGTCTGCTTGGCATGGTATAAAGCTTTGAGCTGCACGAACTCTCAACGTTCTCCTACGCCCATCATCCTCCCCCAGACACCACCATCCAATTTCATCCTCTAAACTTCAAGGCCTTAGATGAGATTAAAGTTGCACTACAAAATTTAGAATATGCGTCTATGGTAATTAGCCAATTAGATGGTCCCAAATGCAAATTTGTTTAATCCGTAGACTAGTAAACAGGGAAAGTAACAGGTTTGGAACATCTGAAGGAGTAAACATACCAGGTTTGTACACAACTGACTGTTGCAAAACTCACTGTTGCAATGCTTGGTTGCGTGGCTGTTGCTAAGGTGTTCTGGGTAGTAGTTCTGGGAGCCTATCCACAAGTGTTTATGTTATATGTTATGTGGATCCCACCTTCATGGTCAGATAATCAATCAAACCTGTCCAGCTGAGATCAAAACTGACCGCATTCAGAATATCACGATCATGCAAAACATTTCTCTCTCAAAAAGAGAGAAAAAAAACAAAAAAACATTCAACACACAAGTGTTTATTCACATGTGAGAACAATAGCCATTGAGAAAGTGAAATGGTCAGCATCAGTGGTCCGAGTCTATTCAGTATGTTCGTCTGCACACAAACGTGTTACTGTGCCCATCACAGATGAACTCCCATCCTTATACGGTTATTATTAAAGCTGCAGTCCGCAGTTTTTCCTCTTTGTCGCCATCTCTGTTCGAAATCTGCAATTGCAGTTATTCGCGGAATTATCAACTTTACACGAGTTGTACTTCGACACGGCACAGCGCGGATGAATCTAATGTTTGAGGAGAGTGTGCGGCTGTCAGTCGCCGTGCCGGTGTGCATACTGGCATTCAGAATCACAGATTATTATTTTTGGAAGTATGACTAACATAATAATTTTCACCGGAAAATGTCATCTGAACAATTAAGAAACATCCACTTTTGTTCTGGTTCTGACATTGCAGTAAATCGCGCTGATTAAATCTAACAATCGCTTATCATATCACGCAAAACCGTGCAAATTATACTTTGATCTCAAATTGTTAATGTTAACAACGTCAGCATTGCGTGACTACATGTAATGTCCTTCCGATATTATCCTTGTTTTCGCATGTGTCCGGTTGCAGTCTCTTCTTCTGCAGCCACTCCGAAGTCCGAACGAAGTCTTTTGCATTTTACAGCGGGTGAATCTGTTGTCACTGGTGATTGTCGTTTGAACCTTTCTGGATCCGCCATCAAATTGATAAATTGAATTATATCAAGTGCTGTGAGAAAAGGCTATAAATCTCCACCTCCAACATCCTCACACGCAATATAGCTTATACTAGCCGAGACTCCTTCTTTATGTGTACAGATGTGACGTAATGACGCAAAGACATGCTCGAATCTCCCGCGGAAATCCACCAGTACCACTGGAGTTAAAAACATTATTACAAACTTACCGCTTTGAATTGAGCTAAGGCAAGCAGATCGTTTTGAACACTGGCTGGTTATGTATTTTCTCAAATATGTATTTTGGATCATTTTTAACCCAAAAAAAGCTACTGACTGCAGCTTTAACATACAGACAGCAGCCCTTTAATTTACCCCAGAAATCTGAGAGGCTTACAGATCAGTCATACTTGTAAATATAAAGCCATGTAGCATTTATTTTTTGTAAGCATTATCAGAAGCAAATTAAGCCATATCTGCAAAGCTATACTAGTCACTGGGTGACTCATTTTCCAAGGTGTTGGACGCAAACACAGGCTCCTCTGAGACAGCTGGATACGTAAATAATTCATCCAACTGTGGTATAGTCCCCTGAGATGCGGCACTATTTTGCCTGATGTGAAAGAGAAAGCATTAGTGTGAGAGAGTGTAGAGCTAAAGTGCCATCTATATGCACCAATACTACATAGTCATCATGCAGAGCAGCGTCTTGAAAGGTATGAAAGCGAGGCTGTGAGGGATAGACTCATTGCGTTTTCAATAGCATCCGCTGTACAAAGCTGTATAAAGCTCCTAGATCACTTATAATTTTCCACAGCTCATGTTGTCCAGAGTTGTTGGTCTACTGAAATTTACTGGAAAGATGTTTTTGCATTGATTCGTCAGCATTACAATCCAAAAACACATTAAATAACAGTACAACCTACTGAAGAGGTGTATGTCCATCCCTCACAGCCTCACTTTCATTCGCGTTAAAAATCAAAGACGGCGCTGCTGTGAATAAGGTCTATTAGCCAAATCCTCAGATAGCTGCGTTGTGATCCTACATTATCCATTTACTTTGAACTAAAATAAGTGATTATTACTACTACTAAACACACTCCATTTCACCTCAGCAGACCTCTAGCATTTTTAGCACATGCTTTATTTAAGGGTTCACACAGATCTTACGCCAGAGAATGAGATGTCACAGTTTCTCCTAATGGAAACGGACTAATCTTGGAGCAGCTCCCCTAACATATTCCTGATGGCCCTCGTCTGTGCATTAAACAAAGGTTATTGTTCTTCATTGCGTGTTGTTCATTAAGTCCCTTTCATCTCTGCCTCATTAGACTGCATTTGATAGACAGAGATCGCTTTCATCTTAGGGCTGCCGTGTCCATTTTTTTATTCTAGAAACACATCTTAAAATCACTCACCAACGATGGAAGATTTCATTACATTGGAGCAAACACACACAAAGATCTGCTTAAAAAGGACAATCCCAGATGTACAATACACATCTATATCCATCTATCGTGTGCTACTGCATTATTTATAAAGATCCTTCCAAATCGAGCACTACAGGCTTATATGCATATTTAATGAAAACAAAATGTGTGCTCCACACTTTTATGCACCACATGTTAATGTTATTTACAACATTAACATTTTTCCCCTGTCAAAAACACATCACATTTTACAGAGCATGTGAACTATGACAAGGTTACAGTGTCATTCTCACTATAGTATATAACTGAGTGAAGTTAACTCACTCTAGAACTTTAGATCAACTGATTAGAGTTAAAAACACAGGAAAATAACATTTGTAGCGTTCAAACTGCCTACTTAAAATATTTATGTCATTCTAGTGCCCCCTTGTGGAACAAGCTACAGCACCACATTGTCCCAATATAAACAAATCTAGCTAATTTTATATATATATGACAGACAGACAGACAGACAGACAGACAGACAGATAGACAGATAGACAGACAGATAGACAGACAGATAGACAGACAGATAGACAGACAGATAGACAGACAGATAGACAGACAGATAGACAGACAGATAGACAGACAGATAGACAGACAGATAGACAGACAGATAGATAGATAGATAGATAGATAGATAGATAGATAGATAGATAGATAGATAGATAGATAGATAGATAGATAGATAGAATCTAATATATGCATGATCTAAAGTCACCTTACCCTAGTATTTATGACATTTTAACGACACCATTTCAAATGATGAACTAAACAATCAGGAAAGGAAAGACAATAATTCTAATCTTTCAATGCTACCTTAGAGTGTTAGTGGTAAAGGGCGGAGGTGTGATGTGATGTCATAGGTTTGGTCAGCAGTGTTCGGGCTGTAAACGTTGACTTACCCTGGTCAATAGGGTGCTGTGGCAACTGACTCATCTGGCTATGCACCACGCCTGCATAATTCCGCAGAAATGCTTCCTCATTTGGTGTCAGCTGGAAGGGTGGGGACAAAAAAACAGATTCACATATGGCAATGAAAATCCATGCCAGTGTAAGAACTACTCAGAGGTTTTAAAATGCAACTAAACTGTCATACGCTAAATCAGTTTAAAGGAACAATGAAACGATCACCATATTCAAGACAATGGCTGGTTTCTATATTTTAAAGAAAACAAATATCCAAACAACAAGCAGCTTATTTTGCATTATTAATCAATCAAAGCAGGTTTAAAAAATAAATAAATAAATTCATAGTAAATAAAATGTAACCAAGATTGTGCAGCTGGGGGAAAAATAATATTAAACAATTACTTATTTCTTAATGATGTAATTTAATCTGCACAGATACAATCATTTCTTGCTCTAATTATTTCTCACAAAACATTTTTTCACTCAGAAATGTCACATTACTTATGTTAAAAATGAATGCTATTTCATGTCGTCTTTAAAGCACATCAGAAGATGTCTTATTCTCACTGGTCTGACACTTACATTTGATCCCATTTTCTTGAGCATGAGCAGCACCCGCACCTTCTGCTGGATGTACATCTCCTCAGGAGACTTGCCAGGGGCTTCCTCTCGGTTCATCCCCCCTGCTCCTGACGCACTGCTGAGCAACCGCACACAGAGCAAGAGAGTATTCAATTATTCATACCTCAAATTTATTTTCAGAACTCGTGAGTTGAATACATTCCTGCTTGGGTTTCATACAAAAACTATAATGCATTAAGGCCAAAAAATGTGAATTAGATCTAAAATGAACAGCAATGAACATTTCCATAACATTTATTAGGTAACACTTAACAATAAAGTTTCATTAGTTAACTACATTAGTTAACATGAACTAATAATGAACTGCACTTCGGTCCGTGTATCTTTTGGTCATTTGATTTCCTGTTTGGAATGGAATAACGAGAAATGAAATCCAGCTCGTTTATTCGTTTTTTTGTTTAGTTTAAAAAACGAAAAATTAGATTTTGGCTCGATTTTTCATTTTTCGTTTGTGGTTTACAAATCGGTTTATGGGTTCGATATTTCATTTGCACACGTGGGCGGCGCTGAAACGCCCCTTTCATCTGATTGGTCAAACCGCTCCGCCTTCAGTACAAGCTTTTCTTTCTGTCGGGCAGAATAAGAGTATTAATAAATGCACTTTAATAAAACAATGTCTGAAACCACCACTCACTGTTAACTACGCACAATATTTGAAGCAGAAATGTTGCTGGTAATGGGGGCTCTGCGACCCCAGTAATGTGAGCCACAGTAGACCTATGACAGATTATTTTAGCATTTCCCATTGATAAATACAGTGCAAATAGTTCCGTCTCTTTGGATAAAAGGGAAGTGGAAATAAAAATCAATAATAGGCTGAACTGTAACATGATAATATGTTCATAACATTTACCACTCTCGTATTTTATTTACATCAAAAGGTGTGTGTGTGACATGCACAGTATATGCCTAAATAATTTTGAAAATTGAATAGAAATAAAGTTTATATTTATAAATGTAAGCATAGGCTATAGCCTACTCGGTTCACATGAAAAGAAAGAGACAGAAAAGAGAGAAGCTAGAATCAGTGAACGTACAGAACGTAGGCTAGGCTACTTTCAAAATTAGCAGGGTTTGGGATTAATTAAAATCATGACAGTTGAAGAGCACGGCATACCTTTAAAATGTTATTAGTTTTATTATAAAACTAATACAATTTTATTACATACTGAATTGGTCGATGTTTCTCTGAGTTCTGTTTATTATGTTGGCTTGAGAAAGCATATATTTAAACGTTATTATTATTATTATGAGAAATTGACTCCGCCTAGAACTTTAATGCTTCACCAAACTCAGCTCAGACCTTCAGACTGGTCTGACTCGCTTATATCTTTTTCTAACTGGTCAGACTTACTTTCCCAAAAAAATCCATTGACTTGCGTTATCTGAGCAATGGGCGTAATACTTAATGCTGTCCACTAGAGGGGGCGACAGGATAATACGTCTTTCTACTCTTTTCCTGTTTGCATCAGTTTAAATGACAAATAAAAGCATGAATTTCATTCATAAATAGGCCATATCTGTGTATGAGAACAAGCTTTACATTTCAAGCTGTAAAACTAATTAAAACTTGAACCCTACTTCAAAGTTTGCCACTCTATAGTTTCTTTTAAGATATTGTTAGTTTTTGCATTTAATATTAGTCCATCTGGAACTTTTATTTGTCATGAGCTCTATATTTTAAGATGTACTAGAAAAAATATGATTCAACAACAAAAACTCTGTTTTAACTCGGCAAATGTGTTTTCCTTTCAAGGCTATAGCCTACACACGAGATGTTTAAAAACCCTGCATGTAGTTTTTGTGAAGACGAGCGCATTTCTTACAATATCTTACAAAGGTTCTATCTATCTATCTATCTATCTATCTATCTATCTATCTATCTATCTATCTATCTATCTATCTATCTATCTATCTATCTATCTATCTATCTATCTATCTATCTATCTATCTATCTATCTATCTATCTATCTATCTATCTGTCGGACTGACTATATGAAAAACTTGAATGCAAACATTTATGCACAAATATATCTTAAATAACAGTTTTAAAAAAGGTGGTCTGCTATATTTCACAAAGGAAGCCCATTTGTGTGTTATACGAGAAGGACATAGCCTACTGTAAAATTAGCTGGTTTACGTAAAAATGCGGATTGATCATTGCACAGTTATTCCAGACGCCTCCCGGTGCTATTCGTATTGGAATTGTGTAATCACAGATTATGAACGGATGTTTTACACAACAACAAGGATATATTCCCATTGGGTTTTCATGTTTTATGGGAACTTTAGACATCATGATTTTATACTGTACAAACTGTGTTATCCCCTAACTCTAATGTAACCGTTATGGGTAGGTCATCTACGGACATCTAATGTTACGGACATATTTTATCATGGTACAGTTCAGTTATTGATTTTTTTTTTTCCTATTCCCTTTTATCCAAAGAGACGGAACTATTTGCACTGTATTTATCAATGGGAAATACATCATGCTAAAGTAATCTGTCATATAGGTCTACTGTGGCTCACATTACTGGGGTCGCTTGCAAGTCGCAGCAGCACGAGTTACGTGACCAGCAATATCTCTGCTTCAAATATTGTGCGTAGTTAACAGTGAGTGGTGGTTTCAGACATTGTTTTATTAAAGTGCATTTATTAATACTCTTATTCTGCCCGACAGAAAGAAAAGCTTGTACTGAAGGCGGAGCGGTTTGACCAATCAGATGAAAGGGGCGTTTCAGCGCCGCCCACGTGTGCAAATGAAATATCGAACCCATAAACCGATTTGTAAACCACAAACGAAAAATGAAAAATCGAGCCAAAATCTAATTTTTCGTTTTTTAAACTAAACAAAAAAACGAATAAACGAGCTGGATTTCATTTCTCGTTATTCCATTCCAAACAGGAAATCAAATGACCAAAAGATACACGGACCCACTTCTACAACATTTATTGTTTGTTAATTTCAACATTTACTAATACATTATTAAAATCAAAAGTTGTTTTTCTTAACATAATGCACTGTGAAGTAGCATGAACAAACAATGAACAGCTCTATTTTTATTAATTAACATTAACAAAGATTAAAAAATACAGTAACAAATGTTAATGTTTAGTTAAGGTTAGTTAATACATTAATGTTAACAAATGAAACCTTATTGTAAAGTGTTACCATTTATTTAAACGGTAATAGCCTAAGTTATAGAGAGAAAAAAAACATTTCTACCTGTACAAACTTGCATACCAGCATACATATCTGGCTTAAATATCAAACCCATCATAACCTTTGCAGAAAGCTTCTAATTAAGGAGAATGACAGTGTCTGAAGTCTGAACACACTCCAGATCATGGAGCAGGTTGACAGCATCATAAATGGCCCTCGTGCATATTTAATGGAAGATCTAACAGTGCTCCCAGCTTTCCCTCGTCTTGCTCACTTCCAGTTCCTAATGACCTATTTTCAAACTTACACTCAGTCTGAAACAATTTTAAGGACCTTGAGGAGCAAAAAAAAGAACAATCATAGATGAGAAAGCCACATGCTTAAGCGCAACAGTGAATTTTCAAAATGATCTGATGCCTCAAATGTTATTTTCCAGAAAAAGCATCACAACACAATAAACAAAGAGACAGTCTGTGGTCATACCATCTAATCCATAATCAATGCGATAATGCATCTCACACCAATGTCATGTGGGAGAAAAAATAAAATACAATTCCCAGACTGGCACTCACAATAACGCAAAAATGAATGACATCAAATATATTCGGTGGTTTTGTGAATCTGTCAGATTGAATCCTTTGGCGACATCCAGAGCCTGTGATGTCTCACACCCTCTTATCTGCACAAAGAGCCTCTAATACATGCTGACAGCTTGTTTGATGTGGGGTTAGCCTATATTTCATTGAAAAGCTGGCTCCAACCCTTCATTGCACGACAGATACATTTGTCTGGCCTTGACTTTAAGAATGACAATACCTCCCCATGGCCAATCTGGCGTGTTAACAGCTTACATGTCTGAAGGCACTTAAACGTAAGCCGGGAAAAGCAATTGAGACAGAAAGTGGTATAGAAACAAAATAACTAACCTACATTTCCTTTTACTAGTCACAGACTCATCAGTCACCAAAGGGCCGTGCCATCAAAAGGGCTTCATATTCAATAAAGCATGCACTTTATTCTGCTGCGTCTCGCTGGCAGCCGTGGGGGGATGAGGAGTGCAGATGAAAGACACGAGAGCGACCGGAGAGGCAGCTCGGCAGCTCTGTGACACCAGGCACACCTTCAGGGGGGAGACCGTTCACTCTCCCTCTCTCGCTTTTGATCAGGACTGTCCTTCCAGACAGCAGGCAGACTCACTGCAGCTCAGCTCTGCCGCAAACACCCAAGAAAAGCCTGTGCATAACAGCACCATTACTTCACCCTTCCAAGACTTCCAAGGTATGAATCTCTAAGAAATGCCCCATAACCTTTTCAGGGCTTAGATCTGTAGCACACCTCAGCTCTGGAACAGGTGTTTTGTCTGAGCAAGTCTGCAGATTTCATAAAATATGTGGATTCGGACTATAAAAACTGGGAAACCCATTATCAAAATCGTTTGTTAATCAAGCCATGACAACACAAGATGACTTAAAAATATAAAATGGTACATTTAGGAAAAACTAATTTGGAAAAGAAGAGGTTATGGATGCAAAACATTGGAAATCTGACTATATTATAAATACATACTTGGCATATAATATTACGGACCTATAACGTTCTGCCAGTTGCTTTGAAAATAAACTGTTCACAATGAAGCTGCAATCTATAATTTGACATGCTTTAGCCATGGGGTTCCCAAAACTGTGTCCTAAATTGATTTCCCAGACCCAGAGTATAACATTTTAATAAACTTTTGTTTTTTAATTAATTATTTATTTATTTATCATTTAACGCAACATCAGCATCATATTCTTAGAATAATAAAGAATGTATATGTATATATATATATATATATATATATATATATATATATATATATATATATATATATATATATATATATATATATAATTAAATAAAAAATATATATATACCGGTATACAGTTTATTAAGCACTGGCATTTTATCACATTAATCTCAAACCCATGTTTGGGAAAACTCTGCTTTAGCACATTTAAATGAGAATATAGGAATCATGTAGGAAATTCTACATGATATCCCTAGAAGACATAATTAAATATAATTAGTATGAATAACTAATAAAAAAAACCCATCTAAAACATTCCACAGATTCCACACACACTCCTCATCAAGCGACAGGCAGCATGTTACCTAAATATAATCTTTTTTCACAAAGAATCCAAGCGAAAACATCAATCTAATCAGTTTTATTGCCGCCAGATGTCATTTTAGACTTTGCCTGATTTCACAGTGGAAGATGTCAAATCATGTGACGATGGGTCCTTTGGGTTGACAGCTAAATATAGAACACCTCTCCTCTGGTTCAGTCATTACCCAGGCTGCACTGAGGCTCAAATTAGTGTCATTTGGTTTCCCACAGCTTAATTGGGGCTTAATTCAAATTACAAGACGGAGAAAAGCAGATAAAGTCAAAGTGTTTTAGTTTTGGTATGGTCACTGGTGCAAGGTCATATCATTGAGTCAAAGCAACGATACTGCAAAAGATCTGTTCATCAGTGACTCCTGCCACTATCCATGTAGGGAAGGTGCAGAAGCTCTGGAAGGAGATCCACAATCCAGATAGCAGTTCTATTTATAGACTCATCAAGTCATTTGAATCCTCACAAACAGCTTGCAGAGAAAGATTCCTCAATTGTTTGAACATCACGTGACAGAAATCATGCATCAGAAATTCATCTTCAACTCAAGAAACATCTTTTGCATAAGGTCAGTATGAAATATCAGAAAATGCACAATTCCCTACTGTATAGTATGCAAAAAGCAGTGTGTCAAACATCATTGATGCTCGTGTTGAAATGGGAGCAATTCCCGGCAGCCGTGTTCCAACATCTAGTGGAAAGCCTTCCCAGAAGAGTGGAAGATAGGGAGGACCAACTCCTTTAGAAATGCACATGGTTTAGAAATGACGGTGTGGTGTTTGGGTCTATATTCTTTTAGCCTTGTAATGAACGAAAAGCAATCAAAATCCTTCTGTTGACCAGAACGAATTCAGCTCATCAAAAAAGATGCCCTCAAAACATAAAACTCAACTCGTGACTAAGCCTAAATGAAAAAATAATAATACAAAAAAACTGCTGTATTTGCAGCCAGAATGTTAACAGTTAGCCAATCACCATCTAAAACACAATTGGCACAAATGGTTTTCCACAGTATACAGATCCCAAGACACAGTGGGTTTTTCTATGGATCTTAAGATGTTACATAACCTTTGCCTGTCAGTGAAAACAGAAGAATTATTGGATGGGACCAACTGCCAAGCCCCAAAACTAATTTAACTTCTGTCAGTGAACATGTCATCCTGACCAGCAACATTTTTTCAGTTTTGTTTGAGAGCATTGTGAAGCAGCAGAGGGCACTGTTCTAGTAAGATCTGTTTTATGGCTCACCAACTCTTGACTAAACTGAAAGCCATTTACATGACCAAAAACTAACCGGGCCAATCAGCATCCAGTAAGTCAGGTAATAGTTAAATCCAGACCTGTCCTGACTTTGTTAATCTTTCTCTCCCTAAACTTTCCAGTCTACTTTGAATAAAATAATAAAAGACAGTTAGAGGTAGCCTGGTTAAAACCAGACCATTCTCAGTTGTAACTGAGTTATGGTCTGGCAAAGCGTCATAGACAAATCATTTCCAGAGGGGCGTCACCAACGGACGTCACGGATAGACCTAAAACCAATCAGAGCGATGAAGGAGATGACGTATGCAGAGCGGCGGAGAAACATCTCCGAGTGTTGTTCTTTGCTCGGTTTTTAACTAAAAGGAAACGTTCAAATCGCTTAAAACAGACGCGATAGCTGATTCGAACGAGGGATGTTCGACGGCGGCATCCATCTTTGTAATGTAGGCTACAAAATCTGCTTCAAAATCCCAGCGCTGTCATCATCGTGTAAAGCCCGCCCCAACATTTCTGATTGGTGCCGCGATTTTAACGGATTGGAAATGGGCTTGAATGAGCTCTTTGCCAGACTAACTTTCAGAGCAAATCTAAATTTGCCGGAAGTTGTCTGGGTTTTCCCAGGCTAAGTTAGAGGTGATTTTAGCAGAAAATATGGTGTAACTAAATCTGTTTGCCAATATAACCAAAGTACAGACTTTCTTTGAAGTCTTGCTTGAGTTGTTTTTGTGCCATGTTTGCCAGCAGATATGATGGGAAACTAGCCGTTCACATTTACAGTGTGGAAACAATAGCTACTATATTTGACAACAATAGAGATGAGGCAGCCAGATGACAAATAACTAGGTCATAACTTATTAGCAATGCATGCAATCCCTGTGTATTCAAAATCATACAGAAAAATACGTTTTTAAACCTTTTTTCAATTCGCATTTAAAAGGATAGTTCACCAAGAAATGAAAACTCTGTCATCATTTACTCAAGTTGTTCCAAACCTGTATGAATTCTGCTGAAGAACAAAAACTATGGAAGTCAATGGTGCCCATCAACTGTCTGGTTATCAACACTTTTCAAAATATCTTCTTTTGTGTTCAGCAGATTTACTTTTTATGACAGGTGTGAAGTGGTTTAAACCCTACTGAAGATTTTCAAAGCTTATTTTGTCAATGCATCATCTCACTATTTAAATCAGTCTGGTATAAGTGTTTCACAAGATGGTTGTTATGCACCAGAGCGCTTGTCATGAATCCCAATACAAAATCCACTGCAGTGGGAAGCTCCCTTTGGGATCACTGCTGCACCGGCTGTCGGAAATATACAGCTACGTGAAATGACAAGACAATTCTCTCCAGAATACGATTTAGGTAAATGGGCTCAAACACTAGGCTATATTTCAAGGTAGATAGTCAGCCCTGTCCTCATAAGGTGTGGCTAATTTGTCTGGGATTGAAGATTTAAACCAGGTAGAAGTTCATAACTCAATTCATAACTACACACATTTTTCTTCTTTTAAATTAATATTACATTTCCCAAAAAGGACTGAGATTGTTAATAGGTAAAACGAAAGGTTTTGTCTTCAAAGTCAAAGAAAGTGAGCCAAAGAGGATTTTGCTAATTGCAACAGAAAGAATCCCCATTTGCAGCCAACGAGGCTGATTTAAGCCTGAATTCCGGCCTTGATCATGTAGGAGCAGGCCTGTAAGGCATATTAGACCCAGCTTGTGTTGTGTCTGACGGGACAGAAAGGAGAGGGAGTAGGGGGATGCCAAGCGACACCAGGGGGGCTGGGCTCCCCAACAACAACAAAAAATGTGTTGAAGCTTGGCTTGGCAGGAGGTCTGAGTCCATGCCTAAGCTTGTAGCTCAAAGGCAGCTGATGATCTCCCTTCGGGACGCAGAGGTTGAGCGGTCCATGAGCCGCACCTGCCCCCCCCCCCCCCCACCATAGAGGAGGGGAACCATTTCTCTCGGATTCAAAGAGCTAGAATCCCTCAGGAGAATGTGAAGACTGAAGAAAAACAGTTTCACTTCCAAGTTCACAAGTAGCTGGCCCTGCCCTGTCCCGTCAGCTCTCTAAGCCTGGCATAGGTCAAGTGCCCACTACAGGCAGACTGCCAGTTTCATAGCCGAATGTGAGCCACACTGCAGATGACAGATGTATTCTGTATTCACAATGAGTTTAGGGTGTGGAAAGACTAAAAATAGACTATCATTGCCACTAAGACATGATAAAATGGTACAAGTGACTGAGATTCTTTCTGTACTATGAGTCTAAGATAATCAAACAAACCTATAAAAAAAATCAAACAGATGCAAGCAAACACAAGAACTCAGCATAAAAGTGTTGCACTTTTTTACTCATTAAAAACAAATTAAATCAAAGATATAAACCTGCAATCACAATGAATATTCAAACATATCTGTGCATTCACAGCAGCAGATTCACGTGCTGAAAGATAGGGCTAAAGGCAATGAATGTAAACAGTGCAACGTGTATAGATAATAAACGACGTCATTAATATGCAAATTAGATTACAATTCGAGTACAAGTATCGGTCTAACACTGAACTACAGCAGACAGTTCGCGGACTGGAGTCACTCCAGTCCTCTTCTCTTTTCCTGTGGCAAAACCCGCGCACAAATCGTTCATATATCTTTAAAATGAAGAATGTCAGTCAAACAGACTTTCTTTTATCTACGACTATGGTGTTTAAAGGAGAAAAGTTAGTGTGCGTAAGATACAGGGGGTGTTTTTAATGGGCAAACCGGACAGTGGGGCTGTAACAAAGCCCTGAATGAAGTTCCCACAATTCCCATTCACATACACACACACATTAGCTCGCTAGCAACAGAAAACAGCCAAACCGCTTCAATTCTCCCCTCGGTTTTGGGCGTATTTTTTTTACATCCAACTCAAACACCTCCGCTTTGATGGCTTACCTCTCCTGGTCCAGGATTCTGTCGTTTTTGTTGTATTTGAGAGCTGTGTTGTGTATAAGGAGGAGTCCTGTTCCGGGGTCACATCCCGACAGTCGGTAGCGCTGGAGTGACTCGAGAGCGTAAACGCGCCGCTGCTGAATCAGTTCCTGCCGGAGCGCGACGCGACTGTCGCCATCAGAGGGCGCTGTGGCGCTGCCGTACACTGGATATATCCGACTAGAGATCAGTGAGCAAGAAAAGAAAAGAAAAGAAAAGAAAAGAAAAGAAAAGAAAAGAAAAGAAAAGAAAAGAAAAGAAAAGAAAAGAAAAGAAAAGAAAAGAAATAGTATCCTGTATATTATATTATATTATATTATATTATATTATATTATATGATATTATATTATATTATATTATATTATATTATATTATATTATATTATATTATATTATATTATATTATATTATATTATGTTATATTATATTATATTATATTATATTATATTATATTATATTATATTATACTATTATAAAAGCAATAAAAAGTCATAACATTCTGAGAAGTACCTAAGGATCAACTGACAGAACCTTAACAATAAATGTAAAAAAAACTTGATCTAGTGCTGATCTAAAATAAAATATTAAATGTTTCATACGTTATTGTTATATCATATTGTATTATATTTTATTATATTATATTATTATAAGAGCAATAAAAAGTCCTAACATTCTGAGAACGTGAAAAAAAGAAAAAAGCATTTTGGAGCATTGATCTAGTGCTGATCTAATCTAGTTAAATAAAATATAAAATGTTTCATACGTAATCTATATGTTATAGCCTTTTATATTATAATGCGGAATAAAACATCATATAACACTCTACATTAACTGACAGATTATTAACAAGAAATGAAAAAAAAAATAGCACACACTTTTTTTTTTAAATAGATCATTCTATTTTTCAGTTTTTGTATGATTACTTTATCTAAAAATCACCGTTGTGACCATCTCATGTATTCTGAAATTCTTTTGATTGTATTCGACAGCTGTTTTCTTACATTATGTTATCAGTTGAATCCTGTTCTCTTTATACTGGACAAAAGGAAACATGGGACTTTACAGTTTCATCATATATTCCCATGATTGACATAACAGTATTACCTCCTTGATGGCATAATAATAAAGTACTGCTATTCAATAACTTGTAGTTTGCAGTTGTTTAGACAGTGTGAACATGACAGGTATAATGAACCCCTTTCAGTTCCACAGAGTTAAGAATTAGAGTACTGTATTAAAGCTTTGTTGATATGTAAAAGCCTTTTCAATAAGCCATTAAGTAGCCCATGTAAGATTCATGTTTCTCAGGATTAAATACTAATGCCATATTACAGAAAATCCTTCAATTGAACTAAACTGAATTAATTGTTTTTACTGCTATCAGCAGTGTTTTTGTGGCCTTTAGTGACTGGGAGATTCCCAGCAGTCTTGTTTACTGTACTCTTCACACTGGGAAAGCCTCATTCATTACACAATAAAGATTGAGGATTCATGAACTTCCAGTTCCCCTTTTATCTCCGTTTCATCTGTGTATATTTTCCTAACACGAACAGAAATAACATTAAAATGCTGATTAGACAAATTTGACTTCCTGTCCCAAACTAACATGAATTCTGGAAATTCAGTAGGGTGAATTCTGGTAAATTGGGCCTCAATGTAAAAATAAATAAATATATTAATTTATTATTCCCCAGCCACAGACGGCACATACAAAGACAGCCAAAAGTCTGGATCCCTTTTCACTGCTTCCGTTCATACAAATATCAAAATCCATTCAGTAAAAAATAACCCACAAATCAGTTTCAGAATCAATAATTTATGGCAAAAATGAGAATGAATAGCACATTTTCATAACTCAAATCATCTTGGTAAAAATTTGTAACAAAGGAGTCATGTTTAAAAACTGAAATAATACATTAGTAAACCAAGAAATTCAAGATCCCAGAGTTTCACACTGTGAAGTGGCAAAAGATCATTATACATAATCAAAAACAAAATAATGTTGATTTGGACAAGACCATAGCATGAAAGGTACTCGGTTAGTAGTCCGAAAGATGCTAATCAATACCTTAACAAATGCTAAAATTCATTTATGGCATAAATCAATGTTAAAGTTCTTTTTCTGTCCACTAATCTTCCTTCCATTATTAAAACTGTATTCAGTGGGTGTTTATAGGACTTCTGTATATATTTATATATATATATAAAGATTAGATGGATTTGACTTTTTATCTCTTCTTTAAAAATTCACATTCTAGAGGACATTTATGCATGTGATGAGAAAAACCAGGTAGCAGTAGATTCAGAATACTGTGGTGATGCATTCTGGAACTGATTCAGGTTGAATCGGAAGAGAAAACACAAGCTTGACTGACTCTATATTCAAAATAGGCACGCAATTACCAGGCGTAATTTTCTACAGAGCAACAATATTCCACTTTCGCCCTGATTTATAGTACAGTAGTACAATGCATACATTTCACTGAACAAAAAGCACACTCTTTGGACACGTCTTTAAGATGGCTTGTGTCTCATCCCAAAGGCACAGAATACCCCACAAATACAAAATATTTAAGGCTCATTTCTACACTGACATACAAAATGTCTTCTCATGTACACCACTATACAAAGGCTTTCCTCATGAACAATTTTCCTATTATACAAATAATTCAAATGAAAAAATACTGTTTTAAGGAATGTAAATACACGTATGATACACAAAAGAATATGTACAACCAAACACGTTCATGTAAACAGAGAAACAAAAATCCTGAAACGAAAATGTAAACGATATGAAAACACTCAACGTGCTTTCTTCTTCTGAACAACTCACTTATTTTATGCTGTACAGTTAGAAATTATAAATACATTAATCTCGCTTGCTCTTTGTGCAGGTACACAAGTGTGACAGAAACAAACCAGAGATGCAAGGTATATTAGTGGCACGCCAATAGTTTGTTAAATTAGTAGCTTCAATTCCCAGTACATTGTGTTGCAAATCCCACGTGTATCTGAAATTAATCTCATTTCAAGCAGTTGGTCTCACCAAAACAAATGTATAGCATCATTTACTAATACGTCACAGATGTAAACATATGCTAAACAGCTGTTGATGTATGTACTTCTCCCCGCAAAAGCAAAACGCAGGACCTTTTTTTTTTTAACTCAATTTCTGAATTTTGAACAGAATCTGGTCATATATCGGTCACAACTCAGTTTAGTTACTGCATTTTGCTTTTGCACGGCAGTATAATGCAATAAATGCCAGACAGCAGTGCAACATATATTCTGTTCAAAGCTGCATCGGTTTAAATCAAAACTCAGCATCAAGAGGGTTTCGGTCGGTCTCCCGTAGCGGTTCGTGATCGAGCGCTGTTTATCTGTTATCTTTGGCAAAACTGTGCATCATCCAGTTCACCTTGGTCTTCCAGCTCTCTCTCAGAGCTTCATTAAATTTCACTTTAAAGTTCTTCAGTGCTTCCTCCTCAGATTTCCCCAGTGCCAAGGAGTCCTGTAAGAACAAAGATACAATGAAGGTGGAATTTCACCAGTGCTGAACATATTCTGTATCTGCCTAGTTATATTCATTATTCCTCATGTATTTCCGTTGATTTCATCCTAAAGTTAGATTTTGCGGAAGCACAAAAGTTTTCAGATTTATAAAACCATGTGTATGGCAGAACCTGTGCAAAAGTCCCTTTATAAAACCCAGTCTGTCAGCAGAAGATCCACCCTGTCTCCTCCTCAAAATAGCCATAATTGTTCTATGCATAACATAATTTGCATATCATTTCCATGCATATTCCCATCCAAGTGATACCATGTTTAACGGTACAAGACATTAGGAAAAAATTAGATATGGATGTGCAGTCACATCACATCGCTAAAAATCATTCAGTTGCCTATCCTTGCCTTGTTTTAGAAAAATATATCAAAATTGTGTAAAATACATTTCAGAGAAGAGTTATTCTCACTGGCCAAATAGTATTTTTAATTGCTTTAAGCAAATCAAATCTAAGCAATTTTGCCTATAAGGTAAACATATATTTTAGGATGTTTATATATTTTTAAAGGAAACAGTGTAAATTAGTGTCTGACTCAGACAATTCATATAATGCTTTGCGTCACTGACAAAGTATAAACAAAAAAAAAAAACGTGCATATCTTATCGTTTTCTTCAAATTCTAACTTTTGAATACAATGTTTTTTTCATAATATTGGGAAGACCACGAAAATGGTTATCATTAGGCTACTGTCTGTCTGTGTACGACACCAACAGCAGAGGTTGTACATGTGTCCTGTGTCATCGGACTTATTCAAACCGGCCAATGGACCATTCGATCACCGAGCGAGTCCTTCAGTGTCTGTCATTATACCGTCTATGTTGCTAAGCCATCTGCTTATACGGAGTCAAGTGCGCATCATTGATCATTATAAGTGTGAAAATATTTTCTCAGAACATTAGTTCTGTTATTTAGAACACAATTTAAAGCGGAATTATCATGCGCCAAGCAATCCTCGCTAGTTAAAACATTGTTAATTAAAAATTATTCAAAAGCAGCACATCCACTACAAATAAGTCTATTTAAATGAATATAAAAAATGTTGTAAACTTCTTGATAATGCTTTCATGAAATTTCAGTGCTTGACTCCATTAATGAGAGTGGCATATGTGTAGGCTATATCAGATGTAAAACAGAGTGTTAATCATTGTTTACTTCACTCACTCCAATAAAAGAGTCTAGAGTGTCCATTCGGTGAGTACATATACGCCTAGTTTTATAAATCCAGATATGTGCATGGAAAGTTTGGCTACACGAGACTAAAAACTTACTGACTTTGCTCACACAGGGTATTAAAACTTCCCCCCAAAAATTTTGCTTTTTTTTTTGTTGTGTCTTGTTACTACACTTGTGGTGTTCCCGGTCAGAAAATTGCTTATAAATCTCTCCTTATGCTATGTTATTGCTAAATATTGGATTCAATCTTTTTATCAACACAGGTGATTATTTCTTTTTGGCACTGATTGATCTTAGGTCTCATTGATCTGAGCTTATGCAGCTCATTTCTTTTTTTAGGTGAATTGGCTTGAGTGAATTTTTTCACTCAAACTCTGAGGTGCAT